CCATACAAGCATGTCATGATTTTTTTATGTACCAGTAGTCTTATTTGCAGAGAAACTTTTTTTAAAAATAAATATGAGTGAGATAAGATCAATCACAGCGACTTGCTTACTGCGTCCCCTCACATCCTCGAGGAGAAATGGTCTTGAGCATGCTCTCGCATGCGTTTAATAGGCGTTCCCTCACGGGAGCCAGTGCAGGGTTGTGCAGGTGTGTTCTTTTGGAGTGGAGAGGGTGGGTGTTTATGGAAAAATCAGGATCTGATATAATCAACTTTCTGATAAGAATTAAACAAATGCTTTCAACAAAAGGACATAATAAATAGTTACATACATTGTTTGGTAAATTTATGCTACTCAGTAATGTGTAGAAATTGTTATATTAGAAAACCATTTTGTTCCTTAAAGATAATATTTTACCTGGTAAGTATTTAGCACTATATAATTCTAGCTTTGTTCAACATTTTCTTAATTTTAAATATTTTTTGGTTGTGAAATCAATATAAAAAAAGTTATATTTTTACAGGATAATATATACTAAATAGGAATTGTGTAATTCAAAATTAATTGCGTATAAAAAGAATAAATGAAGAAAATGTTATAAATTAGTAAAATAAGAAAATTAACCGATTTGACTAAAGTCACTGTGAGGCAGGTAAACTAAGCAACACTGCATGCCTTTGTTATGGTAACATCATGTTTTGGGGCAGCTTTGCCTGCAAAAAGTGTGTAAAATAATGAGAAAAAGACACTACCTCATAATTCTTGAACTGTTTCCCATCTCAGCAGCTATAGTTGAAACTAGGACACATTTGAATGTATCACTTAGGTAATGTTCTCTAACTGGCATTATAACTTTAGGGGATAAAAAAAAAAACAATCCTTAAGTTTCTGGAATAATCAACTGTTCGTGGAAATGTGCACATGCCATTAAAAAATCTGCTAAACTGTACTAAATTCTGTCTAAACGAATAGTCCAATATGCAAGCATTATAACTGAATACACTGTATAACTCCTTTGTGTATGTTCAAGGTTTCCCTCACAAAGGCCCAGCTAAACGGATATTAGTTAAGGTGTGAATTTCAGCTTGGAAGAGTTGAATTACTTTACTTTACTTCATCTTTTTAATTGCTTTCTGTTTTTTTCTTAAGGAGTTCAAAAACATACACAAGGGCAAACTTATATAGACTTATTAGCTATAATATGTTTAAACAAAGTTCTCACCAGAACTTTAGTTACATATCAGCGTAACACAATGTTTCGCTTAAACTGTTGAATTTTATTGACTTCACTAAATCAAATGCAATTATAACTGATGACAGAGATTTCACCGATCAATAATATGAAAGGGTACATCCACTAATCATGACAAGGTAAGAATATTTTTTCCCACTGCAGTGCTTCTCTTCAGATGGCAATGATCACATTGAAATGAAAAAGGCACTTTAATTAGAGTTGCATAGTGTATCAACTACTGTAGGTTCAACATCAGGATAAACATATTCAGTCTGTGCTTAAATCTAACTCTTTGGCAGATTTGAATGAATTCATTCAAATGAATCAGCATTGTCTGTTGTATTGACAAAACATGAAACAGACACATTTGGGGATGAAGAAGAGGGAACAAGCCTAAAAAATATCCTACAGACAGATGTCCATCAGTAAAAGATAAGAAGAAAAAGGCTCCAGTATTAATTTTCTAGCTCATCCTTAAATGTCAGGTTCATTAAATAACTCACAAAACAGAAAATCTTTTCGTTGGCAATAAATCAGCATCATGCACATCTTGATTGTTAGATCGGGATAGTTTATTTGTAACAGGTACAGTTATGTACTCTAAATGTGTAGTAGGACCTGCAGCCAAAAAAAAAAAAAAAGGAGACCAGTAGATTGAATTTGTTTAAATAAATTCAAGTTTCTGTTTTTTCTGGCCTGCACTAATGATTGTTATAAATATGACATAGCTTTTGAAGTTATGTTTCATTAATGAAACATCATTAATCATGTCTGAATTTTTGCTATCATAGCATTTTATTTAACAGATACCTAGCATATCAATCTATTTGATCAGGTATTGAGGTGAATATTATAAATTGCAGCCGAGAACCAGAGGTTTTTAAGTATGGAGCTTTCTGAAAGTTTTAAAACATATTGGACTTTGTAAAGATGTTGAATTAAAAGTTCAAATTAGGAGTGATTAAGTTTTAATTGCAGGTTAGAAAACAGGTCCTAAAAGAAACAACTTTTGAATAGTCAGCTTGTTTATTTGAATAGAAACAGAAATCACTTTTTGTTGTTTTGTTTTTTTTATATTCTAATCTTTCTGAACAAGTTAAAGGTAATTGCTTCATGTTTAAGTCCTCTTGACCAGTATGTGGCACTCTTGCTTAGTCCCGTTTGCCAGCCCGTTGCAAGGTCCACTAATGTTTATGATAATCCATGTAAAACAAATATTAATTCGAAAACATAATCTAAAAATTGTCCATTTTCAATAACATCTTTAAATTAGTATTGATCCAGTGAAACAATGATTTACTTTCATGGTAACATTTTAGCAATTATTACGTAACAAAATTAAAGGTTTGTTGATTGATGACAAAGTGAAATTTTTGTTTCTCATTGCTTCCAATCTAGCATGGCGTCTGAGCCCCTTTGATTCCATAGGCTGCCACCAAAGCTCAAAAGTTTAACTAATGTTCATCCTTGTGTTTTTTTTTTGTTTTTTTTTTGTTGTTGTTTGTTTATTTGCTATTTTTAGGCTTAATCTGAAACATTTTACACAGAGAACTCACCTCTATTACAATCTTGCAATGCCTTATCTCCATCTCATGTGACTTCAACCTACCATTCCTAATGGTGCAGAATACATTTGTTTTGACTTTGATAATGTAATCAGAACAAAATATTTACATGTTTTGGACCTGTCAAAATTTATAAAACATGTAAATGAACACTCAATAATCTCATTCATCACTACTGTATACATTCTGTATATATTTTCTTTGAAAAATGATAATATATACTGGCAAAGGACTGGCAGCCTGAGTGGTGATTCCTTTCAATGAGAAGGAGGAGTGGGAGAGTCTCTGCAAAGACTGCTTCCCCGCGACCCAGTCCTGCAAAAGAGCAGGTATACACTGTAGGATATTTTCATACTCTGCTAAAGCTCAAACTGTACAACAAAACTGTTGGGTTTAAAAGAACACAGCTCACCATATCTGTTTTTACCCTGTATGGCCCAATGCTCTGATGCGATCTGACTGCTCACACCGTACGTCAATAAACCACAGGTCAGACTCAGCCCCATAGAGAGATTACACTGGTCAGTCTAATCCATCCGGAAGTAAAGTCAGAGAAAGTTGAGGCAAAATGGCTCATAGAAGATGCTCGTACCTGTACTTCAACAGGAAGATGCCCTTATTATCTCCTTACAAGGGCAGACTGAATAGTAAACATGTTTTATTTTCATCTGACCATATGATTCCCGATCGGGATTTGGTTGTGAGAGGCTAATTGCCCCTCCTAACCCCTTGTATACCACATGACACAGAACGTAGGATGAGGCTGAAACTCTGCCCAGTCCAAAAAATTTTCACAACTGAAAAACCGGTCCAAAAAAGGGCAAAAAAATCTTACAATGTATGCCCAGCTTAAAAAGAAGATGACAAGTATGAGCATGAATACGAGTATGAGGGAAGGCCTGTTGAAGAATATAAATAACACAAAGGGTGTAATCTATTTGCTCATTGAGTCTGCCTATGGTATTGTTTCACTTTTTTGGAAGAATAATACTAAAGTCGTAATTTTTATTTTTTATTTTGACATACCTCAAAGCAATAAAAAATAGTCCATTAACAATCAGACACCAGAGGTAAAAAAACAAATATAAAAAAAAAAAGAAGGCAGACAGAGAGAACCAACATGCATTTTAATCGCTATTAAAGCTATTTTCTTATTCAGCAAAGAGTTTATACCTCAAAACATTATAATCATTAGGCTGGAAATTGGGCTTTACTTACTAAGAGATCCAGTTTATGTACTCTGTTTATGCACTTTTATAAAAATGTATTCCTTGTTAGATAGCGGTGCCCTATTTTCACTTGTGTAAGCCACTGCAGGGTTGGAGGCAGCTTCACTCTCAGCAGTGCTTTTAAAGAAAAGGTGAAGTGGAGTGTGTTTATGTCAGACATGATTTTTGGTGCAATATCAAGATGTCTCTATATCCTCCCTACCCAGTTACAACTAAATCATAGGATTATCATAGATTTAACAGTCTAAGGGTTGACTGAGTGTAAAGAATATTGTCTTGTGTCATTTATAACCGAATTATGTAATCGCTTGCACCACTGATGGAGATTGTTGATTAATACCTGCAACACCTTGGAAAAAACACTTGAATCTGATGTAAACATGACGTTACTCTTTTTTTTTTAAAACAAACTGCTTTCTAGTGCGCCGATCTGTAAATAACATTCATACCTTCAGTAAAGAAGAAATAACTATAATATCTGCCACTGCTGACTGGTGAGAAAAATAAAATATGCAGTAAATAATTCATCAAATGTCCAAATGTGCATGAACAGAACATATTTTTGTGTAGTGTGGGCAAATGTAAACACCCAACTGATTGTGCAAAAGGCTTTGGGGAAAAAATGAAATCAGGAATCTTATTAATCACCCCTGTATTGTGACAGGTAATACCTCTTATTGCCTAGCAACCCGAGTCCTCCAGGGCAACAGTCGGAATGATGAGATTTACAATGGGATCTCTTCTCCAAAGTTATGGGAATGTCCATTGTGCTACTGCAGACACTTCACGCACACACATGCAATGTTCTTTTGTACTGTTCAGCTGCTTATGTTTTTTTTTTTCAGATATCAATTATTCAAACAAATACTATACATGGGATGCTAAATAAAGCAAACACCTCATGAATCTTTTCTCTGCTTCTTTTTTTTTTTTTGCAGACTCAGTAACTCGGTAGCACTTGTGTTATCTTACCTTAAACAGGCGCAGTATATTGGCCACCATGATGGAAACAGAGCTTGATGAGGCTCCAATGACACCCACTACCCTCTCAGGTTTGGTGATAATTGGCGCCCCCCCTCCAAGACATTTGACATCTGTCCCATCTTTCTCAATCAGAGCCTGGACGAAAGTGAGTGACTGCTCCAAGGCATGAGTATCTCTAGAACAGGTGTCCAGGATTCTTGCTCCCAGTGTGATGTTTGGCAGGAGGTTATTATCATTATTTATACGGTCAAGGGCAAAGAGCATGGCTTCAAGTCGGTGAATGCCCTTCTCCTTCTTAAGCTCCCCACAGGGTTTGCCATCGTGGCCCCTGGCATGCACCGGGAATAGCCCACCTAAGGAGATATCTCCATCAATGCGGATGGAGTTCAAGTGCGTTTGTCCTGGCCCCTTGGGTTTTGCAGCCTGAGAGACATTGAGGAAGCTGTACAGAAGAAGCAGTAGCAGCAGCAGAATGTGGATGTTTCTCTGACAGCCATTCCGATTAGGTTTAGACGTTGGAGGATAAAACATGATCACTGTCCGAGCACACATCCACACCAGCAGTCAGGAAAAATCAATAGCCAGGTATTATTTTATGATGGCCAGAGGTTTAACTGCAATGCCTCTTGAAACAGGTTTCACAAAAAGGCATTTCTCTCGTGTCTATCTGCTTTCACAGGCATTCAATTAGAGTAGAATATAAGCCTTACTCTTTCTCAGAATGTAGTCCTGTTTCTATCTTTTCTTTTACTCACTCCATCCTCTGACCACTGTTGTGGGCAGCTGTTTTTGTGTTCCCTGTTATTCTTTGGAGTTCCTTCACTTGGGGCATTAGGAAGAACAAAGGTGAACGATAAGCTTTCTTCCTCCTCTGTCTCTCCCTCCCTGTCTTTGTGTCTCTTTCCTCTCCACCTCAATCAGAAGTTTTTAATCTCCCCCATTCCCCTGGGCAGGGATTTGGTGTATGTCAGAGCCCCCGGGCTGTCTCAGGTCCACAGGCTTCAGAGCAAATTCCTGAAAGATGAAAAAGAGAAGCGAAGTGAGACAGTGCTCAGAGAAAACAGAAAAGGGCAAAGGAATTTGAATTAGTACGAGCTCTTCAATTGTAGTTTTTTTACTTAACCTTTTAACAGCAGCATTACGAATAAGGAGAAGACAGTTGTGTTTGCAAAAAAATGTCTTTCTTTTTTGTATTTTTGTAGAATGTGCCTACATCCGAGATTCCGACCCCTTATACTTTATATCTAACAAGCAACCTTTTCAGAAGTTGCTTTCAGAATTCTGCAAAATTCTGTGACTCTTCTTTTTCTCTTCATTTTTACATCAAAGGAAGCAATGAGAAACATGACTTTTCTGTTCTTCCAGAAACAAAACCTGTGTTTTGAGCAGCAGCAGCACACTGTGTTAATATTTCTGCCTCAAAGCCTGAAAAATTATTTGTCATATTATGGGTTTAAAGAAAAGCTCAAAAGGTTTAAATAAACTACAATGAAGTTAACATCTCTGTGTGCAAAACATTACCTTGGGATGTCTGTGTATGGCAGCGGGAAAAGGAAATTACACTTATTATAATGTATGGGACTCATATGTGGTCTCCAAATCTCTCAGGCATTTCAAAATATTTGCCCCACAGTGAATAAGAATACAAGAAAAGAGCAAAGGTAGGCTGCTCTAAACCTCTTATGGTGTTATTAAAAATAAAAAGTAGCTTTCATTTCCAAAAGACCCCTGAAATTACTTATTTCCACACATTGATCTGCTTCCTACAAAAAAAAACAAAAAAAAAACAGCATTTACACAAAAATACACACCACTACTGTGCTGGTGTGGTAAATTGTTGTGTCTTCTGTTTTTATTTTGTTTAAACAGAGCAAATTATTATTCCTTAACCATCAGAATATTTACAAAAATGCATGTTAGGCAGTTGGTAATCTAATCTGCCCCGTACATAATTAAAAACTAAGGAATTCGACACATCAATCCCATAAAGACTTTTAAAGGATATGTCTGATATGTATTTGAACTCGCATTACAGATTATGCAGTAATCTAAATACAAGCAAGCTCACAGAGCTGGGATGGCTTTCAAAACACGATGAACAAAAGAGACATAGCCTGTAACTCTGTGGGATTACTGCCTCCAAATGTATAACATGTCAGTGAGGTATTTCCTACCCTGTTCTTACAATCTTTACATTGGCTGTCCAAATGAAATCAATGCTTTAAATACAAGTAGCATTTTTCCTCAGCATGTTTCTGTCTAAATCCAATACTGCAGACACTGAAAGATCGTTAAATTGTGCCTCTTTGCTCCTGACAATTGTGATGTTAGCAGAACAAGTTCAGATGTCAACAATATTTTCTGACAGCTGATTTATTCAGCCACTGCAACCCAAAAACCAATACAGTCTTAAAATGATCTCCTGTCTAGGCTAAGTTTGAACACAAGCTGCTTGGAAAACAGATGTTTTAGAGGAGTTCTTCATTAGCTCACTTCTCTTTTTTTTTTTCATGTGTTGCACCTTGGGTCTTAATTGTGGACAGTTTAACCTTGAATAATGTTGATAAACAATATCTCCCTCAAAAACAAATCTCTAAATATGTGTTAAAACTGAGGCTCACAGCAAAGCTACTTTTACAACCTTATGCCAATACATGATCTCATTTAGAATTGTTCATTTTATTTCTAACCACTATATAAGAGTGTCACATCCAATAACACTTTGGTTAACATTTTAAAGCATTTGAAGAAATAAATGTTGCTGCTGCTTTTATTTTTTCACTGTTTATGTTTGTTATTGATAGGTAGTTGATAATTATCATTGATGATGTGTGAAGTTTAGTACACCTTAATATTAGCTGCCTGTTGCCTGTCCGAACTGATGTTTTTCCCAAGAAGTTTAATTAATGAAGATGGTTCCTCTGTCTGGATATACAGTTATAATCTTCATTCTTTTCGTGGCAAATATTTGGAAATGGAATTAGAGCGGTGTCCTTTAGCTAAGAACAAAGTGTAATATTTTCATAAGGCTGGAGCCATGGATGTCTCCTCATCTGCTAACGTGTATGATGAAAAATGTGATGATGTGGCATATTGGAATTGTATAAAATACTTCTTTAACTGTTAATCATGGCCACTTCCCGAGAACTGAGCTCAGGAGTAATCAGCTGCCTTCTATAACTCTAAGCAACGTCTCTGATCTGAAAAATATTACAATTTCTATCAAAATCTTTTGTCATTTCTCATGGTTATTTAATACATATAAGTTATGAAGTGTTATTTAAAGAGTCTGTCCCGAGTGATTTATTTTCAGGTAAAAGAACCGGAGAGAGAAAGCGTCAAGGTGCAGACACAGAGCCTATCTTTAATAGTTTTGTTAGTTCTGTTCCTGGAGTGACTGACATCACCAGTAGGGGAGTGATGGCCTAGTGGTTAGGGCACAGCGCTTGTGCTCTGAGAAGGTTGCAAGTACACGTTTCGATCCTCACAGCCTCCACTCTGGGTTCCTGAGAAAAACCCTTAACCTCACACTGCTCCCCGATCGCCACACAATGGCAGCCCACTGCTCCCCAAGAGGATGGTTTAAATGCAGATGTAAATTTCTCCAATTAAGTTTAATCATCATCAGTCATCATCAATAAAAACTGAAGAAATTATTTAAATGTCACAAACAGAAGGAACTGTTGAATCTCTTAATGTTTGCATAATTATTGTGTTTGAATATGTTCTTTCCTTTAGCTTAGCACCTCAAATACAAAAGGAGTTGTATCTAAAATAGAAACCATAATGTACAGTAGTACTACTGATGCCATAAGCAGATTGATAGAATAAGTTAAAGAATAACATATAAATTCAATGTAGTTGAAGTTAGTTCAATTCAAATCTCTTTCCATATGTGGACATCAGCCTGGAAACTTTAAATAATACTTCAGGCAAGATATTTGGTTATCTCTTCAATTTCATTTTAAATGATAAATTAGCCTTAACACAAATTCAATCCAACTCAATTCAAAAATGTTAGTTGTGAAAGGTGCTGATAGTTGTAGACAGGAAGGATCTTCTGTATCGGTCAGTCTTGCACCAGATCTGTAGAAGCCTCTGACTGAAAACACTTTGTTGCTGTTTAAAACTTTTCTGAAGAGGATGTTCACTTTTGTCCATAATCTTCTCGACTTTATAAAGAATTCTTTGTTAAATTATGTCCAGAAGTTCTACATGAGTTCCTAGAACAGAGCAGACCATCTTTATTTTAAGTAATTTGCTCTGATATTGTTACCCCAGCAGATGATGGAGCAAGATATCACAATTTCCTCAATAGATATATAGATATAAGCTTCTTTAAGATGTATAATCTGCCCTGTCCCAGTTGTGTGTCTCCAGTTGTGTGTCTCCAGTCTAGTTGTCAAAGTGAATACTTCAGAACTCAGCTGCTCGTGTCATCACAAGAACCCTCTCCTTTCATCATATTTCCCCCTGTCCTTTACCAATTCCATTGGCTCCCAGTTCAATTCAGAATATAATTTAAAATCCTTCTATATAGTTTCAAAGTGATCCATAACCTTGCTCCTCCATTTCTGTCAGACCTCCTTCACATTGCTACCTCCTCCAGCTCACTTAGATCCTCCTCCTCCATCCACCTCACTGTACCCCCAGCTCGACTTGTCACCATGAGGAGCAGAGTCTTCAGCCGCTCTGCTCCCCAGCTCTGGAACTCACTTCCTCCCAACCTCCGCAGTATTGACTCTCTCCCGTTATTCAAAGCCAGACTCAAAACCCATCTGTTCCAGCTAACTTATTTGTGAATACACTGCTCTTGTTCCTATCCATAACTGTTTTTATGTTCCTGTATTAGTATTTTGTATTTTAATTTTTATTTTCTGTAAAGTGACCTTGAGTGTCCAGAAAGGCGCTGTTAAATAAAATGTTTAATTGTTATTATTAATACCAAGGTATTTATACTCCTCCACCACCTCAAATTCAACTTATTCCTGTTTCTTCTGAAATCTACAATAATCATATTCTGACATCCAGGATCAGAAGATTGTTTCGACATTATGCCACAAAGTGGTTCACCAACTACCTAAACTCAACATCTTTGATGCCCTCACCTGAGTCTTCTGGAATTTATCATAATGTAAGTCCGGCTGAATTGTGTAAATGCACTGGAGAAAGCAAAGAACATGATCCTCACAGAGCTGTCTGCCTTGTCTAAATGAATGTGGGTTTGTTGCAGCAGGTGTATGATGGCATCTTCAATTCAACTCCACAGCGATAGGCAAACTGCAGGAGGTGCTGACAGCTGCTTGTTTGTTTGTTGTTGAGGTAAACCAGTAGAAGTCTCTTTAGGACCTAAATGATGTGGGATGTCCACTGGTTTATTGTCCCTGAGGACTGTTGGCTGTGTTCTCTGGTACAGGAAAAAAGGCAGGGGGTCTTCCACATCACTGAACGGTATCCTGGGTCAGACTATGGTTAAAAAGGTGCTGTAGAATCCCACAGAATTGCTCTGCAAAGGCCTACAGGACTCTGGGGCTGACGCCATCTGGACCTGGTGACTTAATACGGTTCAGTCTCTACACTTGACTATTAGAGACAGACAGGTGAAAGGTGGAGCAAGCAGCACCCTCTTCTGATTTTGCTGACAACAAACTCATTGAAGCAAGAGAATTAAGAGCAGAGAGGGGCAGGATTGTCATGTGACTGTGGGCAAGAGAGAGGGATACTGAGCTTGTTCCTGAACTAACCCTGTTGGAGGATGTATTCAGTTAATATGCTCTGTCCAGACCTCCATCTGTCTGGTCATCCTTCTACTTGCAGACTGTGATCTTCGTCATCCCTGACCACATATCTTTGATATTGTTTTACTGGACTAGCTTTCCGGCCTCTTCCTGTATGCTTCCTTGCTTTCTTTTATCTTGACCTTAAAGGTATAGTGAACAATTTTCATGAATTTTGGAGAGAAAAAAAATGCACATGCACAAACCTGTACCTGCTCCTCAGAGGGAATGCCAATT